TCCTGTTCTGCCTTCTCTTCCTAACACGTAACTGGAGGACATAACCGGTGTTAACACAGGAACACACAAGGTTATATCAGTGGCGATGCAGGTGGGATCAAGCAAGGTTATGGCAAATGGGATGCCACATTATGAAGGAGCTGTTGCAGCTTGACTTTCACTTCGCTAGTTAGCCCCTCCACACACTGGGCTGACAGCCCTGTTCGAGTTATCCCCTCAGTTGGCAACCATCCAAGCCGCGACTTTTAGCACACAGTAACAATCTCAGCTTCTGATATAATCGTACACCCTACTCGTGTCTGACGTACAGACAGCGATCACATTCTACTCCGCCCCCCCCTCCCCCAGAGCCAAGTTCCTTAACACGCTGGCTGTCTGACGGCTTGGGCCGAAGCATGTGACAAACCCACCTCTTTTCCTCGAAACACTTATAGTCCCTACACCTAGCTCAGAAGTTTATTCTCCATGTTATCAAAGTATTCTAGCTATGTAGTATCGAAAATACATGTTTCACAAGTGACTTTCGAAGCCTATCATGGTAGTCTTTGCAGAATTTTTCCGGAAAGTGCCCACCTGTCTTTGTCTGCGTATTGTAGACTGGTAGAGTATAATTGCCTTGAAAAGTTTGTTTGTCTGGAGCAACTGTTTCCACCAACCGACCATACTGCTAGTGGATTCTAAGGAGGCATCATCAGCAGAAGAAGAACTGTTGGCTCTGGTCAGCGCAGAGCGAACTGCCGGTAGCTGCGTCCGACTGAAGAATTCCGTAGTCTGGTTGACCCACGTCGTACCCTCATCCAGCTCAATGCGGACCTCCGTCAGCTCCAAGAAGACGGACGTGAATGTCTTGTATTGTTCAATGTCCTTCAGAAACGCAGTCCTCTCTGTCATTAGGAGGAGATGGGTTTCGTGAAATGAACGACCAAGACGATCCAGCTCCTCCCTCGCCAAATGCTTGAGGCGTAATAAAAATGCCTTTTTGTCGGCTACCTCCTCTGGAAGAACAGAGGGTTCATGCAACCCTTCGCAAGTCCTTGCACGCCGAAGTGGGATTCTGTCGTAGTGACTGACACTGCTCAGAGTTTCCAGACTGCGCCAATTCTTCGAGCCTCGAGAGCTTTCACCGGAAGGTGTGCCGACAAGCGCCTCCTTGGTCGCTTTAGTAGCGAGGTCGAGGGACAGATGGGTAGTTTCGGAGGGGGCTTTTGCACAACATGGGCAGTCGGCAAAGGTGGCCTCCGTGGCAATTTGACTGCTTATCTCGTTTTCGATTAGACGAAACTTGCTGGAGATAATTCGTATGCTCTCGTGATTGTCGTTTTGCAGTTCGCCGAAGGTGAGCTCCGTCATGCGAGTGAGAGCTTGTAGGTACTGCCTTTGCTCCTGTAAAAGACACGAATTTAATTTTAAATGCGCAGAAGAACACGTGAAAATTTTATACAGGAAAAAACTTGATTAAAAAAACAGCAAAGCTTACCGAATGGCGGTTAAGATATAAATGCAGGGGTAAAATACAAACAGGGTGGGAAGATAGAACGTGGTTTTGTATTCAAAGAAAAAACGGATAATGACTCCCTATAATTTACACCTAAATTTAGGTTTAGTATATTTCTGTCTGAACTAAAATACTGAAAGTATATATTAGAAAACATTTGATACCGGATAGATTAGGGTTGCCGACCACCGGATTTCACACAAATCGTTTAGCACTGAGTAGTAGAGAGCGGATTTAATGGGGGATAGAATATGCATTATTCTCGTACCGTCTGATTTATCAGGCGAAAAAAGGGTTGTTCTTAACTATAACACGTGACCTATTTCATGGAATCTTAACTTTAGTGTCTGTTTGCAAGAATTACGTAAGATGTTTTGCGGTACTCAATACCAGGAAGCAGTCCTCCATCTCAGCCGTTTCTGCTACCGTTTTATGCTAATGTCTCCAATGATGAATCCGCGCCTAATGTCGAAACGTCAGGCGAATAAAAATATTGTCGCAGCGATCGAGTTGTCTTCTTCCTAGGAAGTATAGTCAGAAGACAGTCCCCAAACACCAGAGGATTCCATTAGCTATAGGCAGAGATACATTAACGACAAATAAAAGGGAGACCGGTACGGCCAATTTTTGGCTTCTTAGGTGTAATCAGTCAGTCATACGCACCCCCAGGAGTGGCTACCCCCGAGGTTCGCCTATCTGCCATTGTGTATATTCGCGATCGAAACGGCAAGGCAATGAGACTTGTTCAGTTGGTAGAACACGAGATTCTTACTCCTGGGGTACAGTGACAGCCTGCACTCGGTACTAGCGCACTGGCATATCCTGTCTTCACTTGTCAAGCACGTAGTCAGAGAAGGTCTCCGCGCGCTGTTAATCG